TTCTATGTACAAAGAGCTATGAATCTGTTCAGGATGACTTGTTTGACATTATGGCGGGCTAATGAAATTTCAAAGTTAACATTCCCCAAATAAAATGGAAAGAAGACACAGGGAGAGAAGGGGAAGATTTAAAATTAGAGAATCTTTGTGTTTTATGGGTTCCAGGTTGTTTGGAATGGAATGAAAGTTGATGCTATATTCTTTTTTTTCATCCTGCCAGCCAGTGTCTGATCCAAGAGCGTCTCTTATTTAAAGGGCAGGGCTCCCTCCACTGTTCTTAAATAAAGGCTTTCACTGTCTGAGATATAATCCTCCCTGATTTCCACAGTAACATTGTAAGACTGCATGAAGAGAACTCTTCAGTGAAAAGAAGTTTTGCATATGATTCCCCTGTCATAAGCCTGTGCAAGTCATATGGTTCAATTTACATTTATGCAAATATCAGAGAATAGAGTAAAATTGCCAAAAGAGGAAAGGACTGTGGCATGTCACAAACAAGATGTGCCTATTTGTATTTATGTTTGCTAATGGATTTCAGCCAGGACTTGCTCTTTGATTTTGATGTCTCTGTCTGCCATTCCGCTTTATGCATTGTAATTAAACCACTTGCCCACACACATACAAGAAGACGCCAAGAAAGGGAGACTTCAAGTTTTAAAAATTCTGTTCTGTAACTTGCTTATACAGGACCTGTAATTCAAGATTTATCATCTTTAAGTGATACAACAGACCTGTGGTGTGACATTGTGCCTTAGCTTTAATGTAAGCAGAACTGCAGGCTTAAAACAATGGAGGATTTGGCCCAATAAACTTTAGTGTCTGGGATGCCCGCTGGAGATGTTTTACCCTAGACTTTCCAGATTTTATTCCAAAGAAGAATTAAGCACCAGCCCACTCAAAAATCACAGCTGTTTCTTTCTCTTGCCAAAATTGTTCTTTCTCATCATGCTACAGCTGTGAAATTATGTACTAGTGTAAATTGTTAACTGGAAACTATTTCTAGCTAAAGTGCTTGTTCAGAAGTCTTAGTTTTCTAATTTGATATGTTACCTAATTGAGGAGTACTCACATTTTCAGGTTTGGCTGAGACTTGTTTCTGTAAATCACAGCTTCTGTATATCTTGTGTTAATAAACATGTGATCATCTGCCCCTGAATGGGTCCTGTGAACTCTTTAGTAAACTGCTTTATTTCATCTGACCTATTGTGGGGACAGGAGTTTTGCTGCCCTTTTCATGGAGTGGTTCTTTGTGGTCCTTCATGATATGCTACCTTGGGCTACCACTACAGAAGACACATGGGATGAAAAAAGAGAGTAGAAAATGGACGATTTTTCATGAAGTTTGAGGAGTTACTTGGCCAAGACCTCTTGTTCCAGGCTGCCTTTTTAAGCTGTTAGTTATCCCTTCTTTCACCAAACTAAGGGCAAAGCATGATCTTGCTTCTAGGTGACTGACAGCAGTGAACACTGCTCATCTTTTCTGCTTCATTGTATCTCCTTTTGGACTGTTGGGAAAAAAATCTACTTTCATTTATTATGATAGCATTCCAAGAGAAGATCTGTGTATCAGAATCCAATCTGCTTCTAGGTGACTTGAAGGACCGACATTTTCAAGGTAGGGTTCCTATACTGTAGGCAAATAGAGGATGCCTGAGAAGCCATGAGAAGGTTCTTCACATGGTGCATAGATGGGCTGGGGATAGGACTGAGAAGTAGAGGACTAAGCAGCAAAATTGTCATGCCTCTCCCCTAAATGGGAGCAAGTGGCAAGAGTGGACTGGGAAAGAGGAAGGTTGCATCTCTGCTTTCACCTTGGTCCAGCCTGCGTAGCCTCTGGTTGTAGATAGCTTCAGTGTGTCCTTTCACCTTTAATGAGGTCAGAGAAGGGAATGAAAAATCTTGTCATATGATAGCAAGGAGCAAGAAGCATTTCTGTGAGAGCTAGATTGGCTAAATAAGGTTATATCAACTTTTCAGAGCATGGAATCCATTCTGGGAAGGCGATCTGTGTAATTTATGCCAAGCTAGGTGATTTCTCCTGTCTAAAAGGTGGTCCCTTGACCACATAGCGGGTACAGTAACAGACTGACAGAACTTCAGCTATGGCAAAGAGTCAGCCCACAGCAGGAAAAATCAAAGCACAGACTGGTAGACAGTACATTTTGAAAGAGAGCACACAAAAAATTTGGATGCAGTAGACACTTTCTCAAAAAGGGCTCCAGGAGAGACCGTGGGCTTATTATGTCCTGACATTGAGCTATATCAAGACATAGCCAGCAAAATGGATACAGCTATGGCTTGTCATTTTAATCCCACATCAAGAGTCAGCATCATCCTCTATCTGTAATTCTTAGGCAAATAATCAACATTTTTTTAAAGAAATTGAATACTGGCAAAGTGGCATAAAGCACCCAAAAGTGTTATCCAAACCCTTTAGATTATATCAAACCACATTAAATAACTGCCACATACATAAAAACTTTCTTATAAGGACATATACACATGCAAGTTTTATAAAAACCATCTTTCCATTTCTCTTCACAGTTCTTGGCATGTAAGTATATGTCTTTTAGTATCACAAATTCAGCTGTATATATCTTAAAGATATACGGTATAACTCAGAACTATGGGATGACTGTAAAATAGGTTTGCTATGCATAAAAATATTTCAGAGGTTAACCTTTATTATCTAGTAATGTACCAAAATAAGAACGAGGTGTTATCTTGTTATAGAGTAAGATGAATCAAACTCACTCCTCCGGAATATTGATTTTCAAAACAGTTACCTTTAAGCTGAGGTTGAAGGTAAAGATCATTTCTGGGTAAAATGCTTCAATTTATGGCTAAATTCCGTAATAAAATATGCATATATCAGAATCACTTTCTCTGGCTTGGGAAGGAAAAATGTGTTGTTTTCATTATTGCTGAACTTCAAAATGGCTTAAGGAATTTTGCTGGTCTTTTCCAAAGAAATTGAACTTCAGTCAGAGATTAAAGCAGAGGAAATTTCAGCCCAAGGGCAAATGTTTCAGAAAGTTTCAAGTATGTGAAACAGGGAGTTAAGTAGGAAATAGTTTTTAATCCTAACTATAGCCACATTAGTTATAACATATTGCTAAATATAGACTGGTAGGCGTGTCCAACTTTCTGAAGGTGTTATCCTCCCTCCTCTGAAACTTGCTTCTAAAATGACCTTTTCAGGGGTATAACTAACCGTATAATATTGCCCATGTTGGAAAACGTTAAACTTCATTATTCCCCAGGTGAGCCCAGCCAAGCCCAACTTTGCTTTGCAACCAAAATTCCTTTTGCAAAATCCAACCTTTTGTCTTTCATGTGGATCCAACTTTATACTCGACTTCATTTATCTTCAAGCAAACTGCTCAATAGCCCTGAATATTTTGTTTATGTGTTAAAGGTTGTCACTTGGGTTACAAAGCTCTGTAAAAATATCGGGGTCAAGGAGCTAAAAACATAACTTTTGCATCGACTTCAAAATGCCAGCCATAATGGTTTGGGCAAGCTGCAGATCCAAACTCCCTTGGACTTGCTGCTTGTGGTTGTGGGAATATATTGGATCCTTTCAAAATTATTGGCTAGTCTGTTTTTGTGCATTTCATGTTTGGGTATAGAGCCTTTGGATTTTTATTTTTTGTTTGTTTATGGTGATACTGTCATGCCTGATAACTGGTTATGTATCCTAGAGCTAATATTATGCTCTTTGACTTTAATGCCATATGCTGCTAGAACTCTCTATTGAAGTATGGCATTAATGTAAAGGATGCTGTAATGAACATCTTGTACATATTTCCTTTCGCATTTTCAGTGTCTGTAAATGTCTCTCTGAATACATTCTTGCTGGTTTTGAAACGATTTCCTTACAGTTTCATACAAATACTGTGCATACACAAAGTTGTTTGATGTTATACTTTGCTCTTAATGATACTCTTCTAATTCTAGTTTAAGAGAGAAGAAATTGATCTCACTGAAATTAATTAGGAAATTAGCAGAGCCACTAAAATTGATAGCTATATGTGGCACTTCCTAAATGCTTGAACGTAAGAGGTATAAAATAAATCTGATGAATCACTAACTGTAATGAAGTAGGTGACTATATTTTCGTTGTCAAAACTAAATGACTGCTGAAGGTGAACTAAATAAAGCAAAAGTATTTAAGTGCCTTTCCTTTTTGAAGTTATCATTAATATCTCAAAAAAAAAAAAAAAAAAAGCAATGCATTTTAAAACTGAGAATATCCCCTTAAAATATAGGGTTTCCAGTGTGCCTGGGATAAAAAGGCATAGTTTCCTATATTGATTCAGAAAGAGATGTTAAAAATGCATTAAAGGTATTTTAGTGAGACAGCGTCACAGGATCTTTTAAAATTCTTTTCTCAAATGGTATTTAACTCTTGTGCTTCTTTACCATAGAATACACTTGATCCCAGGTTACAGAATGTGGGATACCAAATTATTTTGTACTGACCAGAGAGTCTTTCATATTAATTTGGTTGGGGCACAGGGCAGGGGGTGGAGATTATACCAGTGTCTGTTTACATAGTTTAGACTCAAACTATAAATTCGTTTTGGAAAACTGAAATTATTCAGTAAGTTATAGACTATTAAGCAAGGTTAGAAATTATTCTTAGACATAGTGAATAGACAACACATGCTTATAAAGGACAAACAGATTCAGCATAATAGTGTATTTTTGGCCTCATTTATTTTGCAGACAATTAGCAAAATAGGATGTTACATTTTTGCATATTTCTCGCGCTCCTGAAATAGAGTCACTAACCACTTGTTAACCACACTGATTTTTTTAATAGACAAAGTGGTTGCTTATAGCTTCCCCACCAGAAATGTTCAGATTAAGCACACTATTAGATTGCAGCCAGAATAGTCTACAAAACAGGAAGAAAGCCTTGCCTTTCTCTCTGCCGTCTTCCCTTGTTTAAGTTGATGTGATAATTCACTACAGATTTTCTCTTTCTTTGACAGAGCGCCTACCGCAGAAATGGGATGACTTTTCTCGCCTGCTAACGTGGATGTGGCTGCAGCAACAGGAAAGGCAGTGTTATATTAAGGTGATTTTCTTTTCCCCTCCGTGGAAAGGAAAAAAAAAAAAATACAAGCTCCAATGTCTCCATGTACCAGTGAGTGGGCTGGTTTGTTGTGACTATCTGCTGGCTGACTCTGTCTCTTTTTCCAGCCCCCTCAATCGTTATTCTTGTTTACTAGCTGGAATATTTAGCGAATTAATGGCAGGATGTTTGGGGTAGTGTGTAGGTGGACAAGAACAGCAGATCAGACAATGCTGAAGTTTACAGGGGACTTGCTGCTGTCAGCCTCTTCCTGAGATGCGGTGTCATTTTTATTTAAGTGTTTGGAAGTCCGTGTGTTCTCTTAGGGATGTTGTTTTGTAAAGCAGGATGAGGCAGAAAGAGGCCAGAGATGGACGGGGTTATATAGGTTCATATATGTTATGTAAAGGTTAATATAGGTTTTCCTTGTGAATTTTTCAAAAAGAAAAACTGTTTTCCACTATTTTTCACTATTTTCCACTGAATGCTCTCAAATAATTTTTAAGTGTTCAGACAGTGTAACCCAGTTTACTCCAGTAAAGGGCTTTTTGGTGAGAGTAGTAGCGAGTTCAGCAGTTAAAGACTTGTCTTTTTGCAGACCCAAGGATAGGCTAAGTGGTCAGCCCCAAATTCTCAATATTGTCACCCCTATTTTTATTCCATCCCTCTCCTAGGGCTCGAACCATTACTCTCTCAAATCAAGGAAAGCCTTTGCAGCGATTTGCCGCTGGATTGGGCCCCTATTCAGAAAAATAGGTCCTAAAGTATTTAAATAACTGTGTCGGTCTCAGTGGTTCTAGGCAAAGGCTAGACATTATGTACTTGCTCAGCGTTTGCTGCAGGAAGCAGATGTTGTCTCTGTTGTTGACAAAGGCAGTGTTACTGTTGGATTTGGTTAAAGAAGAAATGGCCTCTTTTTTTTGCCTTTTTTATATTTCAATTCATGCTGTTTGTTTTCACATTTATTTTTTAAATCTCGGTCCCTCCCTCTATGCTTCTTCCCGTTCCCTGCTCCTCCAGCCTTTGCTGGCCTCACAGGCACATTCATTTCTTCCCATAAAAACTGTACAAATATAGAGCTAACCACGAGGATGCTTGACCAGAGAAAAGGGCTCGAGCTTCAGCCCATCAGGACCTACAGGCACGTACTGCTTGTGTCCCTGTCGTACCCCATGGGCCCAGGGCTCTGCTTTAGCAGCTCTTAGCTCGGGCTCGAAATCTGACTTAAACCTCAAGTTAAGACAGAGTACTCAAGAGACCGAGAGGATATCAGCAAAATATTACTTTTCTATAGTGCAGCCATCCTCCTCCTTTGTGCTTAGTATGCGAGGTCTTCATTTTTACTCCCACTCTATGCTCTTGTGGTCATTTGTAAGTGGCTTTGTTGCTCTGCTTTCCTGGACCTGCTTGCAGAAACTTTAAATATATATATATATTTTTTAAATGAACAGAAAAACGTCTTTTCTGTTTGCAACCAAACTATTGTGAAAGTGAACTTTGTACATCAAATATTACTGCCATTCATAAATTGCTTTTTTTGTTTTACCTGCTTACGCTTCTGTTTTCTGGAATTAATCTACGTGTAAAGGACTAAAAGTAATGTGTACAATGCAGTGTATTAAACGAGAGGGGGGAAGTTTTCTGATGTTCCATCTGTGCTTCTTGAAATATATGATTAAACTTTTCTTTTTATCATCGCTCTTATTTTTGTTGGCGTCCTTAATCATGGAAAATTATATGCTTGCTGTAAACATCCAGACTTTTTAAAAGGACACCAGCATTTATTGTATTTGGTTTCTATCTGCAGGGATATAGACAGAAGAAACCATTTCAGGCACTGGAATCAAAATTCCTTCCGTAGCTGTATCTCTCCCAGATTTTACATTTTAAAATATGCATAAGCAGGAAAAATACTGGCACTTACTTTTTACTGGTCTACTTAAAGTCCTAGAGAATGAAGACTCAACATACATTTCTCTCAGAAATATGACAGATCATGTTTTTGTTGGTCTGCTGTATGTTTGTCTATCTTGAACAGTCTGACAGGCAATTATTTATAAAATCTGGGTTTGCCCAGTAAACCCATATAATAACCTTTCACTTCTCTACATAAGGCAGTGAGCTGAATTTAGAGTAAAACAAGGTAGGTTATGTCTCCCTATCTCAGACTAACACAGTTTATTCTTATTTCTTGTTTTGGGAAATAATCGCTTTTTTCTCATCTTCAGAGTTTTCTTGAACTCTGTTTAAAATAAAAATGAGACCGTCGGGACTCGTGCTGCATACGGAGCATGTCGTACCACCCCTTTACGGGCTGCAGAAGCAGAGATGTGTTTTTAAGCTGGTACTACACATTTTGTCTTCAACCCTTTTCTTTATTATTTGTATAAAAATCAGTTTGAGGTTCAGTTAACGGCTGCGTGCAAATAGGTTTGTGCTTGTGTAATTTCAGCTTGCAAGCCATTTTGATTCTTAACAAGGATTTATAGTACCTGAATCAGGTTATGCAGATTATTTAACATTAGTCACCTGAAGAAGGGAAACAGACCGATTTCAGGAGGAATAAGACTGCATAACATTTAAGGGAGTGTGAGTTTTGCTCACAGTTCAATGCCTGCATTTCTGCATGGTTTTTGGTATCTTAGTCCAGCCATCCACAAAATCGGGATAATAATTCAGACTGAAAATTGTCAGAGGTGAGGGAGGCACAATGCAGATTTCTAATTGGGCTTCATCTCCTTTCCTGACCTGTCCTTCTTCAGGCTTTCTTCCGAAAAAATAAAGCCCTTTAAAAGGCTTTAAAAGGCTCCTTCATCTGGAAATCGGGAGAAGCTGACAGTGCTCCGTATTTCTGCAGACACCCCCAAGACCTTGCAGAGTTTGGCCCCCCTGGGTTTTCAGAGTACACTTCTCTTTGTCAAGTGAAGATGACACTGGGAGGGAAAAAAAAAAAAAAAAAGTGTTTTCTGGCACTTCTTGAATTTAGATGAACCTTAGCGTTGTATTAACGTTCTGCCATCAGCCGTGTGTAGATCTCATAAAATGTTTTATAGCTTCCCGTCTAGCTCATGCAGAATGTTTCATAGTGCATAAACACTTCTACTAATAATTTAAGAATAAATAGATAGTGACATTAGTCACAAGTCTAACCTCTATTTGAAACTTACATGGTTAGAGGTTGGGATTTTTTTTGCCCAAGTGAATCATCTTGTCCAAGGTTAGGCTTTTTATACCTCTGCTATATATCTACACTGAGCGGCAGTGTGGCTAGGGAGACACAGTGGTGGCATGCATTAAATCCAGGGCTTTATTCGGAGGGCACAGAGCCAGCGCAAAGCAACAGAGCCATCCCTGAAGGAATTGAATGTAAATTTGATGGTTTAAATAAGGCCAGATGCCTTAAAAAATTATTTTGAAAGCTATATCTTTAATGTAGCTCTTAATTTTTTTTTTCCTGCTTAAGATAATGACGTTGCCTTTACAAAATAATAAGAATAAATAGCTCTCGTCTATTGTGGGAAGACGAAAATCAGATACTTTAAGTTCCATAAATCACTGAAATGTTGGCAACTGAAACAAACTTTTAGAAGGCAGATCACTGCAAATTTGAAGGAAACCTTCATATTTTACTCTTAAAAGCCTTTTAACTGTCTAGAGAGCACTCTGAGACACTACATTAATAGCCATTCTCAGTAATCAAGCTCCACTATACTTATATACTATTTTTCCTAAACAAGATAGATTAGTAGTGGAAAAGAGCTGGAAAGATAAATAGAGAAAATCAAGAACTAAAATTATAATAATACTGTTTCATTTTACATCTTATAACTCTCCTCTATATTTGTGATTGATAATTCATCTTAATTCCTATCAGACAGAAATATTGGCACAAGAGTCTTACATCAATATCTGTGTATTTCTGGACTAGTCTTCATCCAGATGCTTTGCAGATTTTCTTACTGGTTTTGTGAAGATGTGATCTGTCGATCTTTGGTTCTTATATGACTTTGATTACTGTAATATGTTGCAGCCAAAGTGTTAACAGTAAGG